AGCAAGTTTAACTTGGCCTTCCACATTTCTTGTCTGTTAGTTAGCAACGAATTTGACAGAATATGGCACTTGATCGCCTTAAATATTTATGCATCTTCCACTTTGCATTGCCTGATCTGGATGAAATTTCTTCACTTCGGAGACTTGCCAGATCATTACTGGGTTGCTAGCACAAATGACATTGGTTTTGGCTGAATTGTCAGAAGAGATGTAACCTATGTTGGAAACTGGGTTCAAATCTCTTCATCACCATTTCAAGACAAAAAAACATATTGAGCAAATCATGTTCGCCACCACTGGGTCTAAAATATTATACCATTGATCTCCATGGTTTGCTACTGATTGTCATGGTTGACGCTTTCTGTTTTCCTCTTGAATTCCCTGCTGTTCATTTGTTAAAACATGAGAACTTTGATGTCAATTACAAGAGCATCACAAAGTAGCATTGATAATGGAAATGAGAAATAAGAAGAATTATAGAAAAGTATATCTATTTAAAATGAATTTCAAGCTTAATCATAATTCTATTCAAGACATACCTTCGAGGAGTTAAAAGAATCACTATGGATTGAGATGTCCCTGGAGTCTGGGGTACAGCTTAGTTGATGAAAACTCAACAGAAAGAGACCTACAAATTGGAAGTCCATGAGCAACTTTGTATCAGCTGCCATTCTTTGAAAGAAATTGAACTTAAAAGTGATTTACCTACACAAGGTATAAGAGACTGATCAACATCTTGTCATTCTCCCAGCTGATTGAAATTGAGCACCTCCAAGAGATTAAAACCTTATGGATTATGGTCCAATAACTTTTAAAGCAAAAGAATTTGAAATAGATACAGATAACACATAATCAAAATGAAACAAATGAAAAAGAAAATGATTAAGAAAATAACTACCAAGGCATCTGCAACTTCTATTTTGTTTTCTATCTTTCCTGCAAAGAACTCTACCAAATCACAAGCTATGCAACACAAGATGCTTATAAATAGAAAAAAATAAGCAATTTCCTCTATGCGATGCTAAACAATCAGTACTTGTTACATGCAAATCAGCTCTCTATGGCAAGGAAAATCACAGCATTTTTAGTCTGTGTTATATGGACTCTACATATAGTTTATGAGGATCTGTTGCAGAATCAAACTACCATATGAATTGAAAATACAAGAACATAAAAACTTAACATTAAAAGCCAGACTCATATGCTAACACTTCTCACTTAGGTTAGGAAAATAAGGTAAGAGAACTTAAAGAAAGATATCAATCCAAACCAAAGACATCTGTTTTGTCAATTGAGAGAAAAAAAGGAGTCAATTTTTGTCTTCTTCTTGAAAACCATGCATTTATTAAGCCAAAATAATAATAATTGGAAATGAAAAAGAAAAAAATCTGTTCAGATTGGTGAGGACTGTTAATAAAAAGGCAGGGAGAATATCATAATAAAAATGATAAAAATCTGTTCACCTAACTTTCATTTAAGTTGCAACCGTTAATCACTCACCGTCAGTTAACAATTCTGTTAATTTTGACTGGTGAAATGGCACTGACAAGAAAAAATAATTACACTATTGGTCCAATAGTGAGGAATGATGCAAATCATGATAACACCTTACACATAGCAGGGGAGGTTCATTCTTCCTTAATACTCCCTAATTAACCCGACCATTCCTAAACTACCTCCCTAAATCATCAGCTCATATACCTTCCTTGCTGAAGACCGCACTGCTATGACAAAAAGAGGCATCTTCTGAGCACACAACCCCATCACAAGAATACAAGAAAGCTAATAGGTTGAAATTTAACATATGAAGAACCATATAATACTGAAAGAATTCAGGTTGGGTAATTGACATGAATTCAGCAATTAAAAGTAACCCATCATGATTGACATGAATGGAAACTTAGATAAGGAAATAAAATTTTTATCAAAGAATTTTATATGATAACTTGGATTTAGAAGTATTTTGGATAATCACTATTGGTCCAGACTCTAGAGATGATGGTGTACTTTTTTGGGTTGCTCCTGTAAAGTGCAAACCCGTGAGCATCGGTGGCCAACTATTCACGAGAGGAGTAGAGCAGAGTTTAGTCTAAGTCGAAATTTCAAGAAAACAAACTGAAAATAGCATCCACAAGCTGCAACCATTCTATGGGCAAAGAATAGAAAATTCAGGTAGAATTCAAATCCAGCAATAGCCCATCATTTTCCAGCCAACAAGAAGCTACCAAAATGTTAAACATTAGAAAAGCAGATTTGAATTTGCAAAGAACAGAGGAATAAGTAGATCTGAGTTCTATAAATAACGAAGAAAATAAAAATGAAAAAGTAGATCTGAGACTTAGCAGAGGATCGACAGAGTGGCACCGGCTATGGCAACCGGAATAAGTAGCTCAATGCCAGAAAAGAAGACACGTGTAGGAATCACTGAGAGTGAGAAAAGAGGGGATAGACCTGAGTTTTATAGTTAATGAAGAAATGGGAAGGAAAAGCTAGATCTGCGACTAACCGGACGATTGGCGAAGTGAACCTCGACGGAGTGGCACCGACAGTGGCAACTGACCGACGAGATCACAGAGAGTTGGAAGGTCAAACACGATTCAGAGAGGTAGGAAGAAAAGGGCAAGAGAGATTTTGCTTTTACGTCGGTTAAAAATTAAATCCTATCCCACCGTATCCCAACGATACATCGGATAATTTCATTTCTGTAGGTTAGGACTGGACAAAATATGAGTTATGTTTTGTCCAATCCATTGCGATCTCCAAACATGGGTTATGGTTGGTCAAGATTAATTTTTGTTCAATCCCACAATTAATCCAGCATTCCAAACGGGCTGTTCAATTCCCCACACTCCGATATAGCAAATTTTTGAAGAGAGGAAAGTCCGTGGAGGCTCGGAAAGGACATCAGACCATTACAGCAGTTTATAACTAACTCTTTGAGACACGTGTCAGTAGAAAAACTCTCCTCCATGCTTTTCAATTCCTCACATTTGATTATCTCAATTTTTTTAAGAGAGTAAAGCGCATCAATACCCGGCATGGACATCAGCTTATCACGGTCAGAAACACTTAACTCTTGTAGACACGTTGGAGGCAAATCGAGCATCGTTCCCAATCATCCTTAATTCCCTGCATTCCTTAAGATCAAGTATCTCAAGGAATTGTAATTTACTAATCATCGGAAGATTTTCTAATTTACCACAACTCCATATATGTACTTCTTTGAGAGATTTCATGGCATCTGGTCCAACTTCTACCCCAACCAGTCCTTCACATCCCTGAATGATGAGTTTTTGAAGAGACGAATATGCAATTCTTTTCAAATTCTTGCAATTTTTAATTTCCACCTTTGCCTCATTACTGAGCGAAAGTGATGGAATGCTTTCCAACCTGGGGCATTCATAAAAGGTCATGAACATCAGATTTTTGAGAAAATTGACATTTTCTGGCATCAACTTTTTTATTTCTGATATCCATGAAGGACAGCTTTTACCACAATAGGATATACTAGTTAGGCCTTTCAAATTTGAATGAGGTTGGAGGCCTTCCCAGATATCTTCATCATGTTTGCATCTATCTTCACTACCATTGGATGTCTCACGAAACACCAACTGCAACTCTTGAATTGTAGCCTTTTCAGAAAGTCTTGCTCCCATGGCTTCTTCTTTGTCTCTAACCATATCCAAATTACAAATCTTTAATTCTCCCCTGAGTTGGCTTAAACATCTCAATTCTTCAATTTGATGTCCCTTCTGTTGGCCCACAACAAATAATTGTAATGTTTTCAAACAAGTTAGTTTACCAATCCTTGCTGGCATAAGCTTCCACTAATTGAAATAAATGTGCCTCAAATTGATTAAATCCCATATTCCCTCCAAAGGCCTTTTGAGTTGCCAACAATACATAAATCTAAATGTCTGCAAATGATAGAGCTTGGTGATGAACTTGGAAATTTTTTTTATTCCAGTTTGTGAAACATCCAAGAACCTACTCCGACCCCTTTTTCCTATTCCTATTATGGAATCTACTTTCTCAATTCTAGTTGTGACAAGAACCCTACTCCCACTATCATGAAATTGTGTAGGACTCATTTCTCCCTTTTCTTTCTCTTTTCCTTATGAGGATGAATTTTAAAAAAAAAAAATAGTGATTTTCTGTTTCTAATTAAGAAAATGTTGAGACGAAAGGATGGGTTTAGAAGTTCATATAAAGGAGGAGTTGAGAGGGAACCATCACAGTTACACGTGGGGAATATTGTGGGAGAGTATTAGGGTCTCTTTTGATAATAGGCATGTGGAAAACTTATTGTTTTTGGTGCATAAAAATTAATAATTGAATTTAAAATTTACGGTTACATAGTAGATAAAATACAATATTACCATAATATATGAAACAAAAATATTATAATCACAATATTATTTGACATTATAAACATACAATATGATATATTATTATATAATTGTATTTTTTCATTTATGAATCAATTCATAATATTATATATATTTATTTATTTAATATCACATAATATTTTATTAAATATCATTTAAGATTATAAAGTTATATCCCTATACGATATTATAATTATAACATTACCGCATATGAAATGAAATGGGCATGCAGGACAGGAGGACGTTGTAATGGAAAGGCGGCAAGGTGGAGGAACAGGAGTGGTTTTCTGAGGCAGTTGGAAGGGGCGGTGACGTGTGTCGGCCCGAGTGGATCATGGCGGCGCGTTTGGCGGGAGAGAGTTCAGTTAGTTAGGTTTGTGGGAAGCAAGATATCTTTTCCCATCAAATAAGTCGAAATGAGGAGTGAAGAGGAGGAAAAAAGAAATAGAGGGTTCCCCTTTCCTCTTTCCCGTGGGTTTTCTCTCTTCCCTCACCATTTATGCCAGATTAGCTGTCTGGAATTGGACCTATTTAAATGGAGAAACATGATGTTTCAGCTTTCGGATTGAGCATCTTAAGCCCAAATTCGCTTTTTCAAAATCAAACCATTTTAAAGCCCGATTGATTTTCCCTCTTTTTGTTTTCTTGTTCCCGTTCCCGTTTAATTATTATTATTTATTTTCAGTTTATGTAACCCTTTTGTATTTTGTGACGTAAGAATGGTCTACACGCAACTTAAAATTATTTTTTTGGCAAAACCATAAGTTAAGCCGCTGAACTAACCCCAGAATAGCCATTAAGCCCCTAAACTTTAATTGACGCATATAAACCCTTAAACTCTGCTATCAAAGCAATTAAGCCCTTCTTCTCAGGTCAACTTAACTGCCGTTTATGCTTGGCTGCTTGGATAGCAAAATATTGTCATGTCATGCTTATATAGCAAAGGAATTAAATATTTGAGTGGAATTTTTAACTTATTTGATCATTTAATTTTTTAAATTAAATAAAATCTAAATAAAATAAAATCATATATTTGGGTAAAAATATTTATTTAAATAAAGTCTTAAATTTAAATTTAATAAATAGAGTAATAGATATTAAAAAAATTTTATGTGATTCATTATAATTTAATTTTAAATTAGTTGAGATTAATATAGCATTTAAATTTTGAAAGTTTAATAAAAAAATAATAACACTTAAAATGATAAATTTATAATTACATGATACATGATATTAAAGAAATATAATAAGAAAAAAGTGCATATCAATTTTAATTTTTAAAATAAATTAAAGTTTTAAATTTAAAGTAAATACTTCATTTTATCTAATTAAAA